CTCCCACCCCCCACCACTCCAGCAACCCTCAGTTTGTTTCCTGAGATTAAGAATTCCTCATATCAGTGAGGTCATATGATACATATCTTTCTCTGATTTACCAAGTCTCTTTTTTAATGTAAAAAGTAGGAATACATTTTAAAAGTTTGTATTAGGTAAGCAGGTATCCTGAGAAAAGATAGCAGGTATTCTCTAGGATAGTTCCCATGCATACTTTGTCACAGAGACAAGCTGTATAGACAAGCTCGTAAGTGCTGATGCAGTGATAGGACATATTTAATTAAACTGTGGGTTATTATTAGCTTCATAGAAATAACTTCCTAGGTTGTGGGTTTGTTTTAGTGGGGTTTGTAACCTTTCTGATATGTAAAATTAGTAACTAGCATGGAACAGAGTAGGTAGGTACTCAAGCACTTTTATTAAATTAGTGAATTAATGAATATGAGTAACTATAAAATATTCATTTGCATTTCTAGATCAGCTTGTCTAAAACTTAAAAACTTCCTCTGTTTTCACTTTTTTTTATATTTGCATTTATAAAGCTGTGTTATGAGGCCTAAGTGATTATTTTTGTCCCATTAGCATTAGGGTTAATTAAGTCTGGTAGAATGAAAGAGAGGAACAAGCTTTTCTGTGAAGTCATGACCAGTATTTCTTTCTACTGCCTATGTGTGGTGGAGTAAGAAAAGCTAGCTTTTCTAAAAACTCAGCTCATCTTACATATTCTTGATTGATCTATCTAAGCAATTTTCAAATTCTGAAACTCTAAGTGACCTTAAATATCATCTTTCCAATTACCTCAGTTTTAGAGATGAGGAAGCGGAAAGCTGGAGGAATTAAGTGAATTGCACAATTCTCACATTTGTATTGCTCCTAAGGCAGAATTTGATGTAATAATAGTTACATATTCAGTCTCTTTCAAAGTTCTAGGATGCATTAATTTGATTATCATCAGTAGCTAAGAGATAAATTGTCACCATAAGCTTTAAGGTTTTTGTGCAGATGTAATTAATATAAAGCTATGTATTAACAGTATCTTATTTTGAAGTGTTATGCTATATGGCATGGTAGATACTCAAAAAATGTTTCATAATTGAGTGAATATATATTGTTAAATTGCACCAATTTTAGTTACTAGATGAATTCTGATTAAGAGAATGTTTTACATTGTAAACTAATATATTTTACAAGATTCGAAAAAAGTGACGATCAATTGAAAATACTCACCATGGAGCTTCAGAAGAAATCAAGTGAACTGGGTAAGATTTAGAGAGTAACATGTGTAGATGATAATATTAGCCAATTATAAAAACATAAACTATTTCAGAATAAAATATAGTTTCTCCTCTGTCATTTATCAATAATTATTTTGTAATTTTTATTTTGACTTTTCAAAGACAAAATTTAAACCTTAAGAAAGACTTCAGTTCCATTATGCATATATATATATATATATATATATAGATAGATAGATACCTAGAAGTGTAAGGAGCCTAAGAGATGTTTGTAGTCTGTTTTTCTTATTTTAGGATTTAGAGGCCTTAATAATTCTTAGTGGAAAATGTCTTATATTTTAATTGAATTTTGAAATTTTCTTGATTTGTCATGTTGGATTATGAACTACTTATAGTAAAATGCTATCCTGTTTTGTCATGTGGTATTGTTAATATTCAATAGATCTCATGGCCAAAAGAGAGAAATTCTGTGGTTATTTTGTGAATTTATGACCCTTTAATTAGCTAATCTTAATAACTCCTATGTTTCATATTTACAGATAAGTACAGATGTGGAGAATTACAAAGATAGAAAAATATTTTTTCTTATTTTGGTGAAAAGAATTATTATTTTAAAAATATTTATTATATTTTATTTTTAAAGAGAGGGAGTGAGCGAGCATGTGCAAGAGCGGGGTTGGGGGGGCAGAGGGAGTGGTAATCTCAAGCAGACTCCCCCAGATCATGGAGCCTGACATGAGGCTTGATCATAACCTGAGCTGAAATCAAGAGTTAGAAGCTTAACCAACTGAGCTACCCAGGTGCCCTGAAAAGAATTATTTTTATAAATTAAAATAACTCATGAATTGGCAAGTTTTTTCTAGACTCTCTATACAACTTTCTGTTAGCTTTATTATTAGCTTTGGTTGCTTTTATAATTAAAATAATTGCAAGAAATTTTGTCTTGGTAGGATGTTTGGTTGAACTTTTGAAACTTATTTATGCTTTTCCTTTGGCAATGCCTAATTTCCTACTATAGGCTAGACCAATCTTGGAGCATCCAAAATTGTACTATTCAATTATAAATAGTTTCTTTGGTATTATTTTATATTAGAATTATTGTAAATGCATTTTTCATCTGATTTTTAAGTCTTCCTTCAATTGAATGTTGTATACTAAGGAATAACTTAAAATATCTTTAATGGATATTTGTAATAATTCACTCTGATTTGAAATTAAGTGTCTCTTATTGTCAGATTAACAAATCAAATGCATAAGGTGATTTTTCTCAGAGCAATATATTAAGAGAAGTTTGGATAAGGAATTCTTCTAGAACTGTGAAGCAGTTCTATGTGTGTTTCTTAGCATTATCTTAGGTACTGTGGGAACATATACAAGATGTAAAATACCATGCTCTTGAGAAATCTCTATATTGGGGGGGAAAAGTTGAATACATAAAATCATTAGAACAGTGTTTCCAAAATGAGGGAATGAGCAAGAATTCTATTAGGATAAGAGAAGGGAATATTGGACCTTCTATTTATTTTATGCTTTTCATATGTTTTATAATGAATATCACAATACATGTATTTCTATTTTAAAATTGTATATGATATGTAAATATGTATTTGTGTTTTATACATATTTATGTATTTGGGGTGAATTCTCACAGATTTGTTGCTGATGGAGATGTGTTAATGCTGATGACAAGAGGAAGCCAAAGGTATCAGTGTAGACTGCAGAATTGGAAAAGACTTTATAGAAGAGGTAGATTTTAAAAGTAGACTTTAAGGTATAAAGAGGCTTTGGGTGGTTGTAGAGAATGGTGGAATGTGGAAAGCATTTTGTGTAGAAGAGCAGTGTTAACAATGACATAAGTGATCAGCATTAGCTTATTTCCTTCTTTGGTTAAAAGTATAGTTCTCAAAATCAGAATCTTGGATGATATTCTTTTCTTTTTTTTCCTCCCTTATCTTTCTCTTCTAATTGGTTATCCAGTGCTGTTGTTTCTAACTTTTAATATCTAGCTCATAAAATCTACCTAATGTAACTTTCTTTTGCATCATTCCCTTTTTCTTCATCTCCACAGACCTAGAACAGTTCTAGCCCTTATTTTTTCTTTCCTGGTTTCATTCCAGCACATTCTCTTAGTCTACCAGAGGGATGCATGTGAGTAACATAATGGAACACATTGTATTTGGCAGATAAATCATCAAACCGTGCTTCAGATCGTCCTCATTGGTCTTCATCTTTGTTCATCCCTTGTTGTATTTAATAGAATACAAACAGAAGGTTTGCCTTATTTTCATAACCTTTTTTCTTACTGCAATAGCCCTTATTCTTATTGCTTTGTTTCCTGATTATGCTTTGCATTCTTCCTTGATGGTATATTCTTAAGCTTACATCTTGGTTAGAATATTCCTCCATCAGCCTCCATCGTTCCCTCAGCAGTCTCAGTCATTGACTCATTCTTTTTTTTTTTTTTTAAGATTTTATTTATTTATTTGAGAGCGAGAATGAGAGAGAGGGAGTACATGAGAGGGGGGAGGGTTAGAGGGAGAAGCAGGCTCCCCTGACAGCAGGGAGCCCGATGCGGGACTCGATCCCGGGACTCCAGGATCATGACCTGAGCCGAAGGTAGTAGCCTAACCAACTGAGCCACCCAGGCGCCCCAGTCATTGACTCATTCTAAGACCACTTTTTTTCTGCACAGATAAAGTCTGCTCTACCTCTTATATCTTGGTATTAGGTCTGGACCATACACCTTTGACTAATACTAATTGTAATAGTTTGAGAATCAGTATTTTTGTTTCTAGTCTCGTCTCTTGTTGATTCTCTGCACTGATGCCAGAGTGTTCCTTTAAAAATACAAATCTGACCATTCTGTGTTGTAAATTTAAGACTCATCTCATTGCTTGAGTTCGAACTCTTTAAATATCACCTGTTGTTTTATTGCTCATTTAAAAAGTAGTGCAGACAAAGCAAATTAAAACCAACTGTAAACACAAAGTCTTTGTCAATTTATTCTGTTTTTGACTTGGTAGAGTTTGCTTTGTTTCTTCATATGTCTCCTCTCTTCAATTTAGTCTAATGTTGCTCTAAACAGGTTTTACTACTGTGGTTATTTTTCTGTATCTGTACCCATGTTTGCTTTTACTCTCTTATGTAACAGATTCTCTCTCCAGTGTTTTCTATTGCTTCTTATTTGATGACATATATAAAATGACAAATATTTAATTACAAATTAGGATAAGTGCTATGAAGACAATGAAAATGAAACCATGTAAGAGAATAATAGGGCCTAATTTAGATTCCGTGATAAGGCATGACCTTTAGCTGACCTCATAAATAAGTGAGATTTAGTGAGGTAAAGCATGTGAGTTGGAGAGAGCTTTTCAGTCAGAAGGAAACTCATGTAGAAATGCTCTGAGTTGTGAAAGAGCTTGGTTAATTCAAGTGACTGAATGAAAGCCTAGGTGACTGAGTGTAAGAAGTGATTTGAAAAGGGTAATGAAATAAGTATGAAGTGATAAGGACAAAATCGGGTAGGAGCAAGGAAAGGAATTTTTATTTTATTCTAAACATGAAGGAAAACCATTAAAAGATTTTAAGTAGGGGGTTGACATGATCTGGTTTACATTTTTAAAGGATTGCTGCTACTTCTGTATGGCAGATAAATTTGGGTGGGGAATGCTGATAGGAAAAAAGTAGAAGTTGATAAATTAGTTTGGAAGCTATTTGAGTGGTACAGGCATGAGAGAATACCTTTTAAAAGTGGAATCATATCACACTTATGCTAGCGTTTGGTGAGCTCATGAATCTGAGGACATTTTGTCTGTCTTCAGCCCTGAAAATTTTTCTCAGCTTATTTTTTCTTTTCTAGTGTCATTATTCTCTCTGTAAGTTCTGACAGGTAGATTTTAGAAATTCTGGATCTATCCTTTATATTTTAAAATTTCTCTTTTATACTTTCTATCTTTTAGTTCTTTTTCAGGGGGATTTGGGGAAAATTTTTTTTGGTTTCCCCCTGCTAATTCAGTCTTTAGTTATGTTTATTTTGCTATTTTTAAAGTTTTAGTTGTCAAATTTTAAATTTCTAAGAGCTCTAGGTGATTTATTTCATGGATATTGTACCCTGTTGGAACATACTATACTTAGCAAAATATCTGCTTCTGTTTGCTTTATTAATTCCTTCTTGGATTTTATTTTAGTTCTCTTAATTGAATTTGGTGCCTCTCTTTTATGGTTTTGCTTTTCTTTTTTTTTTTTAAAGATTTTATTTATTTATGTGAGAGACAGAATGAGAGACAGAGAGCACGAGAGGGAGGAGGGTCAGAGGGAGAAGCAGACTCCCTGCCGAGCAGGGAGCCCGATGCGGGACTCGATCCTGGGACTCCAGGATCATGACCTGAGCCGAAGGCAGTCGCTTAACCAACTGAGCCACCCAGGCACCCTGGTTTTGCTTTTCTTTACTAATTGTTGATTCTTGATTATTTACTCATCTAAATATTTGAAAATCTTTTTTCACTCACATATGTTATAATCTGATTTTTCTGATTATGTGGTGTGGGGATGGGGGGAGATGAGAGGTACTGTAAGGAAAGGTGGGCTTGGTGGGGTTTAGGAGTTTAGGGGTTTTGGGTTTAGGAGATGTTTATTTTGCTTAGAGATCATGAGCTGTTTGGGGCACTGCTGCATCCCTTTGCCTCAATTCCTAAATCTTTGATTAAACTTGAGGTGGACTGTGTGGTGGGAGGTATGGTCTAGGTGTTTCACATAGCCTTCATTGAATTAATGTGGGTCCCCCCTCTCCCTGCCAGGATTCTTCAACTTTTTGGTTTGTTCATGGTAGTCTGGTTTTATTAATGTTGTAAATATATATATTTTTTGTGTCTTTTAAAAAGGGATTGGGGGTGAGAAAATGTGGAGACATTCTTAGTCTATTATCTTTAATCAATCCTTGAGTTTGAAAAAATTAACCTTTTTTACCTAAAATGAAATGTTGTGGTGAAATAAACTTTGCTTGTGACAGGTTCTTCTTTGAGAGTCCATGGTGGCATTTTATATTTTGTTGCTTTTTTTCCTTAAAAACTATGGGCAATTATTACAAATTTTTTGTTTATTTTTAATGTAAAGAGTCTGGGAAACTTCCAGCAAATCTCATATCTCCAGTTATTAAAAACCCATAACAGTGAGGGAGGCAGGACAGTGTTTCAGATACAATAAAATTTTAGGTGACAGCTAGACATCATTTGGGAACTTTGTAGGCAGTTAAAAAATCTAAAAAAGAAGAAAGCAGGAGGTTTGAGCTGGAAATGTTTTAAAATTAATTAACCTAATACTGAATTAATAGAAGATCGAAAGAAAAGCATTGTAGAGTGTTATTATTTAGGGTAGAAAAAAGAAGGGTGTCAGCAAAGAAAATAGGAGCAGGAGTTAGGACAGGAAATGCAAATAATGCAAGGTCTTGAAAATCAAAGGGGGAAAAGTAGAGAGTAGTTAATAACATCAAATGCCAGAAAGCTCCACAATAAAGAGGACTAAGAATTATACCACAAAATGGTTATTGATGATCTTTAAGATCATAGTTTTGTTAATTTAATAAGAGGTGTAATTAATGTAATGAGATAGGCATTAGTTTTGCATGGAGCTAAGAAAGAAATGCATAGATAACAAACAGGAATTTGTCTGCAAAACAAAGTAAGAAATATGATGGTAGTATGAAAGGCCAGACAGGTCCATCAGATTGTTTTGTATTCAAATGGATGTTTAAAAGGGATGGGGGAATTTAAAGTTTCCTCTAAGAGAGAGAACATAGCAACTAAAGTCTCAGAGGAGGTAGGAATATTGAGGTCCAGAGTACAATGGTCAGAAGTAGCTTGAGAGAAGTGAATCACTTCTTTTTAGTTTGGAGTGAAGATTAAGAGGTCAGATACTTAGACAGTGATGAAGTAAAGGTAAAGGCACATGCTGTGTGACTTCATCCCAAATATGTTTTATACAGATCCATTGCTTATTTTGGTTAATGAACTTGAGTTCATTTGGTTGTGGAATTCCACTTTATAGAAACATTACTATTAATATTTATCATTTTTGTGTAGTTCCATTTCGACTTCCTCTGTGCTTTATGGTGCTTTAGTTTCACTAACCCATCTCTTGTTTTTTTCCCTTTAAAACAATGGTATTCTTATTTCTTGTCTCTTCTTTGCTGTTCTTTTAATCTAATTTTAACACCTTTTTATTCTTTTGTTTATTTTAGAAGAGATGACTAAGCTTAAAAATAACAAAGAAGTAGAACTTGAAGAATTGAAAAAAATCTTGGTAAGTATATAATTTCTCTTGTTAATGTAGAGCAGTTACTTTTCAAAAAAATATTGAATCCACTGACTTAGACTCTCACACTACAGATGTTTTATATTAGTGTTTTCAGCTAAAATATAAAAAAATACATTTGTGTTTTAGTAAAGCCACATTCTTATCTGTACCAAATTCAATATATTTTGAAAACTGTCTTGGTGAAGGTGTTTATATTATTTGAATGTGTGTTGGCAGTACATTTAAGTAAGATCAAATATGCATGTGACATTACTGATTTACTGGTAGTAAATTTGGTATGCCTGTGATACCTTTGGGCCACAAAGCTACAATTTGGGGGAAGATATATATGTTGTATATTCAGTAACTATGTTTAGTGTTCAGACAGAATCATGTTTAATGAATTTGTTAGGATAGGCAAAATTATGTTTTAATTGATTACAATGTGTGGAGCATGGGCGGCAAAATTTTAAAGGACTGGAGAATAAATATTTTAGGCTTTGTAGTCTATATACAGAATGTTAATTCTCTTCTCCTCTTCCTCCTATTTCCACACCTCCCCTCCCCCTTCTTGTCCTCCTCTTCTCCTTTATTTTTAACAAACTTGTAAAAATGTAAGAATTATTCTTAGGTCAAGGGCCTACAAAAAGAGACTGTAGGTTGATTTTATCTAGCAGGCTGTAGTTTGCCAACCCCTATATAATATTGTTTATGATTACAGATATTTGATTTTGGGTTTAACCTATTGCATCTCTACCTGATTTTGCAACTCCTAATTCTTCCATCTCTTGGGAAGCATTATTTCCAAATGCTTATCCTTTCTCCATTGAATTGCTTTGCTTGAACTCTTGTGAATAATAATGTTTACACTGCTTTCAGATTCGATAATGCATTCTTATTTTTTTGTTATACTTCAAGTCTCAGCTTGAATATCAGTTTAGGTAATCTTTCTTGATATTATCTATAAACCTCTCTTATCTAGTTTAGATCTCTGTATGGCTTGTGCCTATAGCCACCCTGAACTTTTCTTTTATAGCACTTAACACAAATGGAATTAATTTATTTTTGGTATAATTGTTTAAAGCTTTATTCACCCTTTTGTCTCACCCTTACTTCGCACAGTAGGCGGTATATAGTAGGTCCTCAGTAAATAAATAGTGGAATGAAGGTATGCTCCCATAAGGGCTAAGAACCCATGTCCTGTTTTCCTTGTAACCTTAGTATTTACTTAGCACAGTGACTGACACTTTATAAATATTTGTTGAATGAATGAATACTAAGCATTATTTTTACTATAAAGATTCACTCCTAAGCAGATAAGGATTGGTTTAGGGTTTTGTTATATTTGGACAGCAATAGAACACAATATCTTCATCTTTAAAATTGTAATGTTTTGATTGCTATCCAGCTCTTTACTTCTTAGCTGTATGACCGAGAGGAAATTAACTAAACTCTTGATGCCTCAGTTTTCCATCTATGAAATAGGGAAAATAATTGTACACATATAATGGGGTAGTTGTAAGGAATAAATAAAACAATATATTTGCCCATTTAGCAAACATGTTGAGTTTCTTTTATGCTGTACTCTGGGGGTACAGTTGGGAGCAAATGGATACATATGCTGCTTTCATGGATCTACAGTCATGAAATATCACACGTAAATATAAGCAATCATTCAAAGGTAATATTAAGATGGTGACAAAGGCAATAAAGGAGAGTGCTAATAAAGGCAGTGCTATGACGCTCAGAATTAAGGGACTTCAACTAGTTAGGTCAGAAGAGCCTTTTTTTGAAAAAGTAAAGATTGAACTGAAATCCAGATAAGGAAGGGAAGAGCTTATCAGGTAGAGGACATATAATGTGTAAAGTTCCTTTGATAGGAAGGAGTATGGGGAGTGCAACATGGAGTGAAAAGGAGAGTCGTGCAAAATGAGGCTAGAGAGTTAAGGTAGTAGGAGCATGGCAATTCATGGCCTTTTGAATCCTATGAAGATGATTTTATATTTATCCTAAGAGGAATGGAAAGCTCTAAAGAATTTCAGTAGGGAGTGACTTGGTTTGCGTTTTGAAAATCTCATTTGTCTTGCAATATTGAGAACAGTATATTAAGATAGAACAGTTAAGTAGACAGACAATCAGAGTAGCCAGAGGAGAGATGATTATAGCTTAGGCTGGGAGGTGGTGGTGAGAAAAAATGGGTGGTTTTGAGAGATATTTAAGATTTAAATACTTTGGATTGGTCTAGGGGGATATTACCATTTGTTGAAAAGATTCCTTTTTTCCATTGAGTTGCTTTTGCACATTTATAAAAATCAATTGGCCATATTTGTGTGGTTCTGTTTCTGGACTGTTTCTGTTTTCTTGATCTATTTGTTATCAATTCACCAATATATCAGTGTCTTGATTACTGTAGCTTTATAGTTGGTCTTAAATAGCTACAGATTGCCTATTGATAAAATTCAGACTCTTTAAGTCCAATTAGGTTTTTAAAAAACATTTTTATTTAAATTCAATTTAGTTAACATACAGTGTATTATTAGTTTCAGGGGTAGAATTTAGTGATTCATCAGTTGCATATAACACCCAGGGCTCATTACATCAAGTGCCCTCCTTGATGCCTATCACCCAATTACCCTATCCCCCCACACACCTCCCCTCCAGCAACCCTCAGTTTGTTTCCTAGAATTAAGAGTCTCTTATGGTTTGCCCCTTTCTCTGTTTTTATCTTATTTTTCCTTCCCTTCCCCTATGTTCATCAGTTTTGTTTCTTAAATTCCACATATGAGTGAAATCATGTGGTGTTTGTTTTTCTCTGACTGACTTATTTCGCTTAGCATAATACCCTCTAGTTCTATCCACATCATTGCAAATGGCAAGATTTCATTCTTTTTGATGGCTGAGTAATATTCCATTGTATATGTACCACATCTTCTTTATCCATTTATCTGTTGATGGACATGTGGGCTCTTTCCATAGTTTGGCTATTGTGGACATTGCTGCTCTAAACATTGGGGTGCATATACCCCTTCGAATCACTGTATTTGTATCCTTTGGATAAATACCTAGTAGTGTAATTGTTGGGTCGAGGGGTAGTTCTATTTTTAACTTTTTGAGGAACCTCCATACTGTTTTCCAGAATGGCTGCAGCAATATGCATTCCCACTGACAGTGTGAGAGTGTTCCCCTTTCTCTGAATCCTCACCAACATCTATTGTTTCCTGAGTTGTTAATTTTAGCCATCTGACAGGTGTGAGGTGGTATCTCATTTTTTAATTTGTATTTCCCAGGTGATGTTGAGCATTTTTTCCTGTGTCTGTTAGCCATCTGGATGTCTTCTTTGGAAAAATATCTGTTCATGTCTTCTGCCCATTTCTTGATTGGATTTTTGTTTTTTGGATGTTGAGTTTGGTAATTTATTTATAGATTTTGGATACTAGCCCTTTATCTGATATATCATTTGTGAATACCTTCTCCCATTCTGTAGGTTGCCTTTTAGTTTTGTTGATTGTTTTCTTTGCTGTGCAAAAGCTTTTTATCCTTATGTAGTCCCAGTAGTTCATTTTTGCTTTTGTTTCCCTTGCCTCTGGAGATGTGTCTAGCAAGAAGTTGCTGCAACCGAGGTCAAAGAGATTGCTGCCTGTGTTCTCCTCTAGGATTTTGATCCTGTCATCCATTATGAATTTATTTTTGTGTATGGTGTAAGAAAACGGTCCAGTTTCATTCTTCTACATGTGGCTGTCCAATTTTCCCAGCACCATTTGTTGAAGAGACCGTCTTTTTTCCATTGGATATTCTTTCCTGCTTTGTCAAAGATTAGTTGGCCATAGAGTTGAGTGTCCATTTCTGGGCTCTCTATTCCATTCATCTATGTGTCTGTTTTTGTGTCAGTACCATACTGTCTTGATGATCACAGCTTTGTAATACAGCTTGAAGTCTGGAATTGTGATGCCTCCAGCTTTGCTTTTCTTTTTCAACATTCCTCTGATATTTCAGGGTCTTTTCTGGTTCCATACAAATTTTAGAATTGTTTCTGGGGGCACCTGGGTGGCTCAGGAGTTAAGCGTCTGCCTTTGGCTCAGGTCATAATCCCAGGGTCCTGGGATCGTGCCCTACATTAGACTTCCTGCTCATCAGGGAGCCTGCTTCTCTCTCTCCCTCTGCTGCTCCCCCAGCTTGTGCTCTCTCTGTCAAGTAAATAAATAAAATCTTTATAAAAATTTTTAGAATTGTTTGTTCCAGCTCTGTGAAAGATGCTGGTGGCATTTTGATAGGGATAGCACTGAATCTATAGATTGCTTTGGGTGGCATAGACATTTGAACAATATTTGTTCATCCGATCCATGAGCATGGAATATTTCCATTTTTTTGTGTCTTCCTCAATTTCTTTCATAAGTGTTGTATAGTTTTCAGAGTACAGATCTTTTACCCTTTTGTTAGGTTTATTCCTTAGGTATCTTATGATTTTTGGTGCAATTGTAAATGGGATAGATTCTTTTTTTAAAAATTTTTTATTGTTATGTTAATCACCATACATTACATCATTAGTTTTTGATGTAGTGTTCCATGATTCATTGTTTGTGCATAACACCCAGTGCTCCATGCAGAATGTACCCTCTTTAATACCCATCACCAGGCTAACCCATCCTCCCACCCCTCTAGAACCCTCAGTTTATTTTTCAGAGTCCATCGTCTCTCATGGTTCGTCTGGGATAGATTCTTTTATTTCTCTTTCTGCTGCTTCATTGTTAGTGTATAGAAATGCAGCAGACTTCTGTGCATTGGTTTTTTTTTGTTTTTTTTTTTTAATATCCTGTGACTTTGCTGAATTCCTGTATCAGTTCTAGCAGTGTTTTGGTGGAGTCTTTTGGCTTTTCTACATAGAGTATCCTGTGATCTGGGAAGAATGGAAGTTTGCCTTCTTCTTTGATGATTTGGATGCCTTTTATTTCTTTTTGTTGTCTGATTGCTGAGGCTAGGACTCTTAGTACTGTTATACAACAATGGTTAGAGTGGACATCCCTGTCATGTTCCCGACCTTAGGGGAAAAGCTCTCAGTTTTTCACCTGTTGAGGATGATATTCACTGTGGGTCTTCCGTATATGGCTTTTATGAAGTTGAGGTATATTCCCTTTATCCCTACATTGTGGAGGGTTTTTATCAAGAAAGGATGCTGTATTTTATCAGATGCTTTTTCTGCATCTGTTGAGAGGATCATATGATTCTTACTCTTTTATTAATGTGGTGTATCATGTTGATGGATTTGTGGATGTTGAACCACCCCTGCAGCCTAGGAATAAATCCCACTTGGTCATGGTGAATAATCCTTTTAATGTACTGTTGGATTCTATCAGCTAGTATCTTGTTGAGAATTTTGGCATACATGTTCATCAGGGATATTGGTAATTCTCCTTTTTGGTGGGGTCTTTGTGTGGTTTTGGGCTCATGGTAATGCTGGCCTTGTAGAATGAGTTTGGATGTTTTCCTTCCATTTCTGTTTTTTGGAACAGTTTTGGAAGAATACATATTAATTCTTCTTTAAATGTTTGGTAGAATTCCACTGGGAAGCCATCTGGCCCTGGACTCTTGTTTTTTGGGAGATTTTTTATTACTGCTTCAATTTCCTTGCTGGTTATGGGTCTGTTCAGGTTTTCTGTTTCTTCCTGTTTCAGTTTTTGTAGTTTATATATTTCTAGGAATGCATCTATTTCCTTCAGATTACCTAATTTCTTGGCATATAATTGCTCATAATATTCTTTTATAATTGTTTGTATTTCTTTGGTGTTGGTTGTGATCTCTCCTCTTTCATTGGTGATTTTTTTAATTTGGGTCCTTTCTCCTTTCTTTTTGATAAGTCTGGCCAGGGGTTTATCAAACTTGTTAATTCTTTCAAAGAACCAGGTCCTACTTATGTTGATTTATTCTGTGTTTTTTTTTTTTATTTCTATGTCACTTATTTCTGCTCTAATCTTTATTATTTCTCTTCTCCTGCTGGATTTAAGCTTTATTTGCTGTTATTTTTCCAGCTCCTTTAGGTGTAAGGTTAGGTTGTGTATTTGAGACTTTTCTTGCTTCTTGAGGAAGGCCTGTACTTCCCTCTTAGGACCACCTTTGCTGCATTCCAGAAGTTTTGAACTGTCATGTTTTCATTTTCATTTGCTTCCATGTGTTTTTTAATTCTTCTTTAATATCCTCGTTGACCCATTCATTCTTTAGTAGGATGTTTTTTAACCTTCTTGTATTTGTGGTTCTTCCAAATTTTTTCTTGCAGTTCACTTCAAGTTTCATAGCACTATGGTCTGAAAATACCTGTGGTATGATCTCAATCTTTTTGTACCAGTTGAGTCCTGATTTATGACCTAGTATGTGATCTGTTCTGGAGAATGTTCCATGTGCACTTGAAAAGAATGTGTATTCTGCAGCTTTAGGATTAATTGCTCTGAATATATCTGTTAAGTCCATCTGGTCCAGTGTGTCATTCAAAGCTCTTGTTTCCCTGTTGATCTTTGGCTTAGATGATCTGTCCACAGTTGTAAGTGAAGTGTTAAAGTCCTCTACTATTATTGTTATTATTAATGAGTTTCTTAAATTTGTTATTAATTGATTTATATATTTGGCTGCTTCCAAATTGGGGGCATAAATATTTATAATTGTTAGATCTTCTTGTCAGATAGACCCCCTTTATTATGATATAGTGTCTTTCTTCAGCTCTTATTACAGTCTTTGGTTTAAAATCTAGTTCGTCTGATATAAGGATGGCTACTCCAGCTTTCGTTTGATGTCCATTAGCGTGATAAATGGTTCTCCACCCCCTCATTTTCAATCTGGAGGTGTCTTTGAGTCTAAAATGAGTCTCTTGTAAGCAACATATTGATGGGTCTTTTTTTAAATCCATTCTGTACCCTATATCTTTTGTTTGGAGCATTTAGTCCATTTACATTGAGAGTAATTATTGAAAGATATGAATTTAGTGCCATTGTATTACCTGTAAAGTTGCTGTTCCTATAGATTCTCTCTGTTCCTTCCTGGTGGTTGTTACTTTTGGTCTCTCTTTCTGCTCAAAGGGTCCCCTTTGATATTTCTTGCAGGGCTGGTTTAGTGTTCACGAATTCCTTTAGTTTTTGTTTGTCTTGGAAACTTTCTCTCTCCTATTCTGAATGACAGCCTTGCTGGGTAAAGTATTCTTGCTGCATATTTTTCCCATTTAGCACATTGAATATAATCTGCCAGGACTCTGTGGACAGGTATGCTGCCAGCCGTTTGTGTCTTCCCTTGTAGGTTGAGGACCTCTTGTCCTGAGCCACTTTCAGGATTTTCTCTTTATCTTTGTAATTTGCAAGTTTCACTGTAATATGTTGAGGTGTTGACCTATTTTTGTTGATTTTTGAGGGTAGTTCTCTGTGCTTCTTGGACTTGAATGCCTGTTTCCTTCCCCAGATTAGGGAAGTTCTCAGGTATAATTTGTTTAAATAAACCTTTTGCCCCTTTTTCCCCACTCTGCTTCTTCTGGGACCTCCTATATTATGGATATTATTTCACTTTATGGAATTGCTGAATTCCCTAAGTCTACCTTCGTGATCTAATAGTTTTCTTTCCTCTTCTTTTCAGTTTCATTATTTTCCATAATTATATCTTCTCTATCACTGATTCACTCTTCTGATTCATTCATCCTGGTTTTCATGTCATCCACTTGGGACTGCATCTCGATTATAGCATTTTTAATTTTGGCCTGACTAGATTCTGGTTTTTATCTCTACAGTAAGAGATTTCCTAGTGTCTTCTATGCTTTTTTCAAGCCCAGCTAGTATCTTTATAATTGTTCTTTTAAATTCTAGTTCAGACATCTCACTTATCTGTATTGATTAAATCCCTGGCTGTGAGTACTACTTCCTGTTCTTTCTTTTGGGGTGAATTTCTCTGTGTCATCATTTTGTTCAGAAAAGAAAAGAAAGAAAGAAAGAAAGAGAAAAAGACAACAAAAACAATGATAAAAACAACAAAAAAAACAAAAAAAAAACTAGATCCTGGATTTGTTTTGGTCTGCTTGTTAAAAATAAATAAAAATAAAAACTAGATCCCAAAATAAGAAACACACACACACAAATACAATTAAAGGAAACAAAAAATACAAAGTATATATAAGAAAATTAAAAATGAATAAAGAAAAGATTTGAAAAAATAAGTAAATAACTGAAAAAATAATAAAATACTAAAGAATAAAAATACAAAGAGTGCTATATACTGTTTTCCCTAAGAGCTGAAGCTTTGCAGCCCTCTGTGATCTATAAACTTGGTGTGAGTGAGTTGTTTGTGCTGGTCTTCTGGGGGAGGGGCCTGTTGCGCTGATTCTCAGGTGGACTTGCCCTAGTGGAAATGCACCTCCAGCATTCAGGGAGGTAGGGTTTGGTGTCAATTAGTAGTTTTTTATTATTAATATAGGACATTTATTGCCAAGTGTTTAATGAAATTGTTGTGATCTCATGCTTGAGTAAACAACATAAAAATTGAATGTGTATATATATATATATATATAAAACAGGAGGAATTAATAGTAATTAAGTACCCATAACTAAAGAAATAGTGGTTATTTTATACTTAGTCTTCCTTAGTTTCTAGAGCTATGCTATTCAGTATGGTAGCTACTATCCAAATGTGGCATTTAAATTTAAATTAATTAAAGTAGACCAAATTTAAAAGTCTGTTCCTCAGCTCCAAGAGCCACATTTGAAGTGCTCAGTTACTATCATATGTTCCTATCATTGCAGAAAGTCTTACTGTATGGGACTCATCTGAAGTGGAGGTTGACAAAATTTTTATCTAAACAGCCAGTAGCAAATTTTTAGGCTTTGTGGGCTATATTGATCTCTGTTGTAGCTATTCAGCTTTGTTGTTATAAGATAAAATGGGAATATACAATACATAAACATATTGGCTGTATTACAGTAAAACTTTATTAAAAACAAGCAGTGGCTGGTTTTGGCCTGTTGACTGTGGGTTATTCAACTTGGTTGTCTAGAACATTGAATTTAATTCTTGATACCTTACTTAAAATTGTGTATTGACAAAGTGAGTCCATCCTGAGGGAATAAAGCAAAACCATTTCATCGGAAGAATGATAATAAGAATTAGAGATTTTAGAATAGTTAAGAGAAAAGTTAGGCAGTGTTAATGACTCTCTTCAAATATTTGTTAGCTATCATGTAAAAAAGGAGTTAGACTTTTATGTGACTAAGGAAAGCAGAACAATGACCACTGCATGAAAGTTACAGGGAAGCACATTTTAGTACAATATAAGGACAAACAGGATTGATGGAATAGTGAGTGACTAATAAATGCTAATAAATTGGAGTGATTTATGTATAAGATAAGGTTTGAATTCAATGACCTGTATGATTTTTTTTTTTCAATGAAAAATTTCAGGCTCTGTCCATTGAATCTTCTGTCATCATATGTAACTTTAGAATGTACTTAATTATGACTTGTTTTTCTCTTTTTTTTTTTAATTTAGCCAGAGAGAAACTCATAATTCTCTTTGTTCTAGTTAGGCAGTTTGATTATTTTGAATATGTGTGTACTTTGGCCATCATGATTTGTTAATGTTCTTAAATAGGCAGAAAACCAAAAACTTTTAGATGAAAAGAAACAATTTGAGAAGATTGCTGAAGAATTAAAAGAAACAGAACAAGAACTAACTGGTCTTCTCCAAACCAGAGAGGTTTGTTTAAAAAAGATACATTTTTCTTTCCAACATCTTGTTAGTAGAGTACAGATTTACAGAATAGATTGTGGTATAGCTATTAGCTTTGTGAAGGATTTCTTCTCAAAATTCCTTTCAAAGGAAGTGTTCCTGCTATGTTTAATATACTAATGATAGATTTGAAACAAATTTAGAGAATCTTCATATTATAATGTGGTAGAGAAAGGTCAACATTAAGATATCAATAGTATGTATAACAATCACATTTTTTATGTCTTCAGTATTTCTTTATACATTTAAAATTTCACTTTTATTAAGTTCTTCATTTATAATAATTTTTATAGTGCTCATATTATAATTTTATGAAAAAATGTATTTTTTCAGTACATAATAGCATTACATTGTAACCATCTTTTTATAATGTAAGAACAGCTTAGTTTTTTTGTTTTTTTTTTTAAGATTTTGAGAGAGCGCGTATGAGCAGGGGGAGGAGCATAGGGAAAGGGAGAGGGACAAGCAGACTCCCTGCTGAGCATGGAGCTGGAGGTGGGGCTCGATCTCAGGACCCCGAGATCATGAACTGAGCTGAAGTCAGATGCTTAACTGAGTCAGCCAGGTGCCCCCAGAACAGCTTAGTTTTTAAGATTCTACCTGATTTCATTAATTAATATATTTTTCTTAACATAACATTTTAATTGAGGTTAATTACCTGGTAGAGTAAAATTGATGAAAATATTTTATGATATGTAAATATAATTTTACTGGTTGAGCTTTAGAATATCAAGATGGAATTCACTTAAATTACATTTGTCATTGCTCCTTGTTCTAAAATTATAATGGTTCTGGCATTAAATCTATTAAATTTTAAAATTTGACATTTCTTACCAAAATATTGCCAAATATATGACTTGATTACAAAGTGGCCATACTTTTAAGTAAGAAAATTGTAAAAAAAGTTTGCTGTGATTATACACATTTTCCAGGGAAAAATACATGATTTGGAAATACAGTTAACTGCCATTGTGACAAGTGAACAGCATTATTCCAAACAGGTTAAAGAGCTGAAAACTGAGCTTGAAAATGAGAAGTAAGTTTTCTATCTATAAATAACTTATGTATTCAATTTCTAAGCTTTCTGATAGTTAATAATAAATTAGTAAGTTATATTCAATATTTATTTGAATGGGGTTAAAGTTGTGTTTTATTCCTGATTAGAGATCAAAATAATTTATTAATTTCATTGTTAATTAAATTAGCAATGATATGTATATATCATTAACATAAAAAGAATACATCACAAAGTTGAAAACTTCTTTAGAAGATCACTATATTACTTTTCTTGGAGATATTTAGTTCCTGATAAAAGTAATCATTTGCAGTTCTACCTAGTTATTTTGGTATTTTGTTGAATTATTTCATAGATTTGTTTTGTTGAAGTGACCAAAATACATACAGGTCATTGAATTATGGGTAAAATTCATCTATTAACCAAAATTCCTTTTAATAAATGGACTGGTTAGTTATTTATACTTTAGTATAAATTTATGTTATCCTTGGTATGTTCACTTTTCCAACCTTTCTTTTTTTAATTTACTCTTTAATGAATTTCCAGTACTGGTAAGTAGAAGATAATAGGTGCTGCTGAAATCATTCCATAGAGCCACACAGTCCCCTTCTTTCATTTAAAATTGATCCTGATTGCAACCAATAATAGCAGTAATCGCTCTTCCAGTGTAGAACATTTGAGACCTTGTTAGAGCAGTTCAAGTGTTGTGCACAGAAGTTAAACTGAGTTTTATTTATTTTAATGAAAATATTTTGTTAAAAATAGTTCATGCCTCAAGTACTACTTTACTTTAATCAAATCACCCGAAATTTGGAATAGTTTCTAAGAGACAGTATACTAGGGACAAAAATTATATGAAGAAAATAATATACACTTTAAAATCTGTGGGAAAATATGGGGCATGAGGTGTGTAGGGAATATTCAAGGAAATAGGACCTCTTGAAAAACTTACAGAAAATTTGAAACATGTACAAAGACTTCTAGAGGAAATAATGTAATGAAACAGCATATATCTATCGCTCAGCTTCAGAAATTATTAACTAATGGCCAATCTTATTTATACTCCCAGCCCTTTCTCTCTTTACCCTAAGATTATCTTGAATTAAATTCCACATCATATAATTTAATAGGTAAATATTTAGGTCTGACATGTTTTTAAAAAATAGGCTTAAGACTACTGAACTAAATGCAAGCTGCAACAGGCTTTCACTGGAGAACAAAGAACTAGCACAAGAAACAAGTGATATGGCCCTAGAAATCAAGAAACAGCAAGAAGACATTGATGTGAGTTGATAACGAAAGTACCAGTGACTTAGTTTTCTAACCTGTAAAATTAGGGTATTAGAATAGATTACCTTCCAAAATTCTTTCACTCTTACAAATCTGATTATGTTAGAGCTGATACTTTGTTTCAGAAGAAAAATATGCATATTGATTTTGATGGTGATAATGGGCAACAGAATATAGAGACTACCCATTGATAAAGTTAATTTAATTTTAAGCATCAAGATTTTTATGAAGTATTTACTCAACAAGTATTTATTAAGTAAATCATGTAAGAATGTGGAGGATACAATGGTGAATAAAATATCTTCCTCTTTAAGTTCTTACGGCTCAATAGAAAAACTAAATGCTCAAATAACTTAAACAAAATACTATGTTATATGTGTTGTTTGGGGACCAAGTGTAATTGGAATTGACAAGATTACTTCTGCCTTGGTGGAAGAGAAGGCTTCAGAGAGAGTATAGCATTGATTTTGGCCTTAAAAGATGAATAACTATGAATTCAGTAGGTAACAGTGAATGGAAAAGCATTCCTTGAAGCCACAACAATATGAACAGAGGATAGAAGTCTTAAATTATCACTGGGAAACAGGAAGTAAGACTTGTTTTTTTAGCTGCTATATAGAGATTGTTAGGGGAATAATTAAAATAAGGCTGGAAAAATAGTGTGGAACTATGCAAGGTAAATAGCCCATTGTCTTATTTTATATATAACTAAATGAATTTTATGCTGGCAGATAAAGGTTTTAAATAATAGTTTCAATTTTATTTTTGGTGAAACAAAGTAATTAATATAAACAACATTGATTATTTCCTTAGAATAGCAAAAAAGAAGAAGAAACAATGTTGAAAAAAATAGAAAAACTAGAAGAAACGGAAACACAGTTAAGGCAAGACTAATGAATTGGCTTTTTAAGTCTGGCAAGAGATTTTAGTATTTCTTTTCTGTTAATTTGTTATAGTTAATTTAGATACTTAATGTTGAATATGGTATAGAGTAAAAATTTAGAATTACTATGTTGGAATTCTGCTTAAAAATAAAATTGTAATGTTTGTTCTTAGTGTTGAAATAGTGAGATTAGACTTAGAGATTAATTTTAAAGCATTCTGAACTTTCTTATATTTAATATTTAAGAAAATAATTATATACAAGAAAATTTAGATGAGAAATTTTTTAAAATATTTTTTTTTAAAGATTTATTTATTTATTTGAGAGAGTGAGAATGAGAGAGAGAGAGAGAGTGTACATGACAGGGGGAGGGTTAGAGGGAGAAGCAG